TAGATTCTAGGTTATGCTTTCCTCGAAATTAATTCATGAAACGTTTATATTCAAACAAACCTTATTTAATTTTACCAATCGTAGAGATAATCGCTAAATTGATTTCAAACCTTTCTCTCGAACAAGTTAAATCGTAGATATTAATTGTTATCTATCTCCTCTCGGTCTCAAGATGAACAACTAACTCCCATAAGTTCCTTTTTTTTTTTTTTTACGAAACGATAGAAATATTATAAACTCAAGGCGAACAAAGTTCGAATAGTACACAACAAGATCGAAAAGAAAAACTGAGAGGACACGCATATAGCGGCCTAGAACCACAACTCAAACAGAAAAAGAACCAAGGTACCATCCACTGCCCAAAGGCCTAGAGGTACAAGGAAAATAAAAACCTGTCACACTAACCTAACCAAACCAAACTAACAGCAGCCAAACCAAAGGCCAAAACAAGAACACAAAAGCACAGAAAAAACAAGAAGCAGCATTCAGTTCTTCAACTCAGCAAAGTCAAGCCAATCCTGATGAGCAGCCCGCAAGGTGACTTGGATTGGCATGAGGATGTTTTGAAAGATACTCAGGTTGCGGGTCTTCCAGAGCCACCATAGGATGTAGGTAGTGAGCTGGATTCTGGCCTCTGATGTCTCTGAGGAGTATAAAGAGCAAATATCAAACCACCAACTGCTAAAGGTTGAACCTTGAAATGGCAGAAGGTTCCAAGTGACATGGGCAATGTTCCAAATATTTGCAGCTCTTGAGCATTGGAAAAGAACATGGTTTATAGTCTCTGGTTCCTCACCACAAATGCTGCACATGACATCACAGGGCAAGCCTTTTGTCCTCAGGTTTGTTTTAACAGGAAGAGCTCCCTCAATGCATTTCCATATGAAGATCTTAACTTTGCTGACAATGTGTAATTTCCAGAGTCTTTGTCTGAGCTTGATCAGATGAGGACCTGTCCTTCTACTACAACCAGGCATATCCAAAGCAAGTAGTTTTTGATGTGCAAGGAATGAATAGGTGCTAGAGACTGAAAAGTCTCCATTTTTATTGAATTTCCAGTACTGCCTATCTTGCTTCCCCGGTTTCAGAGATGTAATATTCAAGATGGCTCTGCTGTCCTGAGCATTGAACGCTTGGTTAATCAGCCAAGAATTCCAATTTTTTCCAGCATTATCAATAAGCTCATTAACCCAAATAAGATGTCCTCTGGCAAAATCAACCAACATAGGCTTAGGCTGAAGGAGGCTGGGGACCCAATTTACATCATCAATTCTGGTATTCATACCATTTCTGATTTCAACAGCAAACCCCTTAGCAAAGGTAGGAACAACCCCAAGCCAGTTGGCCCATAACCAAGAGCAAGATTGAGATTTAACAGCATCAAAAATAGAGCAATGAGGAAAATACCTATCTTTTAGGATTCTGCTCACCAGAAGATTGGGCTGTGTGGTGATTCTCCACAGTTGTTTGCAAATGAGAGCAGCATTGAACAGCTGAAGATCTAGAAAACCAAGTCCACCATAGTCCTTGGGAAGAGTCAATTTGTTCCAAGCTCTCCAATGAATACCACTGCTATGATCTTCATTTGTACTCCACCAAAACTGAGAGCATAGCTGAGAAATTTTTGCACAAAGAGTTTTTGGAAGCATAAAACAGGATTACTCACACAATAATAATAAGCATAAGAAATTTATAAACAAAAGATAAACCGGAATGAAATAAATAAAAACTAAATCATAAATCAATCCGAGTACTAACAAATCCTAGAATCTAAGATAAATCTAGCCTAGAAACATGATTTCAAAATATAAAAAATAAATATAAAACATTGAGTTCGAAAGAAGAAAAAGAAAAAGAAAGAAAAAGCTTATTCGGCTCCGTCGATCTTTTCTTCCCGACTTTCTCCTCGTCTTGTTCGTGTTTCTAGCCTCCAAGAGTCTCCAAAGATGTCATAGACTCCCCAAAAACGTGTCCAAGTGCCTCTTAAATAGTTGGGGTCGAGTTTTAGTCGAAATAGGTCAAAAATACTGAAAAAATAGGAAAAACGCGTCAAACCCGTCCAAGTCACGCCCAGGATCACACGACTCGTGTCATAGGCCACACGAGTCGTGTGACAATGCCGTAAGCTCAATCCACGACCCGTCGGAACGACACTAGCCGTGTCTCGGGCTCACACGACCCGTGTGTACTGGGGGTTCAAAATTTGTACTTTTCGCGCAGCTCACGTCTCCTGATGCATTTTCTAACATCCCAGGTGGCTCTGGACGTCGCATTACGATTTCTAGGGCCGAGTTCCGGCAGCTCCGGCGGTTCTCCCTCAGCCCGGCATGGCAGCAGCTTCAAGCTTCATCTTCTTGGTGAAACAATGGCAGTGGAGGACGGTGAAGGTATTTATGGCGGACGGGTGAACATGGCGGCTTCCAGGTCGTCAACATGGCGAATTCCGGCAGCTTCCATGGCAGCTCACACACTTCAATGGCGGATTCTCGCGTCACGTGCATTACGAGGAAGAAGAAGATGGGTTCTTCTTTTCTATTAAATTGACAAGTATGCCCCCAATTTAAACATCTTGTGGGTTGGCCCTTTACATACTTATTTGTGATCTTCTTGGGCCGGCCCAAAGCATTATGCAACCATTTTCATATTTAAAAGGGCCTGCCTTATGTTGGGCTCATTTCACTACACGACCACATCCCGATTTACGCCGTTTTCGACTCTAAAAATTAATCGACCCTATTTTCTGTCTAAACTCAAAATAAAACACTACATCATAGCTTAATAAGTATAATTAATAATTAATTAATTAAATATATATCAAACTACGACGAAACGGACACAAAAATACTATAAAATGCACGTAAATATGACGCATGTCAAGACCTATCGCCAAGAGGTCGTCCAAGCTTTCTGTAACTCTCCTGCCTTCCTCTACAAACTCTGCCCCGCCACCCTACAATGTTTCGAGCATACCTTTGCGGCATGGGAGGCAGTGGTGCTGGGGTCTGAATTCGCTGGGAAACTCGACCGCGAGGATGTCAAGGCGACGTTCCCCGGCCCAGCGGGTTATGAGGGCGATGAGTCTCTCCTAGATGACTATACGTGGTGGTCGGGACTCGAGGCTCGGGCCATTCGCAAGGCTGGCTTGAGCGCGCAACTCGAAGTTCCTCACACCCCCTTGGCCGGTCCGACCGAATTAGTCGGGCCAAGTGGGGCTAGTCATGAGGAGGAGGAGATCGAGGAGGCTCATGTCGAGAGGCAAGGGACGAAGCCACTTGTCGACGAGGATGCCGAACGGGGGGATGAGGGGTCGTGGAAGGTGGAGACGACACCGCTAAGAAGTCGGATGCCGACTCTTAGATGTGTTTGTCTAACTTGGGGTTGTGCCGTTGTTATCTTTCGTTTTGAAATTATAATGTCTGTTAGAATATTTGTCGTTCTCGGCCTATTTTCAGGATTGTAAAGGTCAAGACGACTCGAAATGTAATGCATTTTCTATTATCAATATGATTCTATCTTTTCCATTCTCGTCTTGATGTCGTACTTTGCCAATTTTTATTTTCTCGAGTTGTTACGTTGCTCGTATTTCAAGTTATCTTGTTATTATTTCTTTATTTCCTCTCCTCACCCTTCTTGCGAGCTGGTCGAAATCGAGCATGGATTTTAGCAGTTTCGTAGTTGATAAACGTAAGTTTTTCAACTCGCCTTCTCCCAACCTTTCTTGCGAGCTGGTCGAAGTCGAGCAAGGATTTTAGCAGCTTTGTAGCTGATAAACGTAAAGTTTTTCAACTCGTCTTCTCCCAACCCTTCTTGCGAGCTGGTCGAAGTTGAGCAACGACTTTAGCAACTTCGTAGCTGATAAAAGTAAGTTTTTCAACTCGTCTTCTCCCAATTTTTCTTGCTAGCTGGTCGAAGTCGAGCCAGGATTTTAGCAGCTTCGTAGCTGATAAACGTAAAGTTTTTCAACTCGTCTTCTCTCAACCCTTGTTGCGAGCTAGTCGAAGTCGAGCAACGACTTTAGCAGCTTCGTAGCTGATAAACGTAAGTTTTTCAACTCGTCTTCTCTCAACCTTTCTTGCGTGCTGGTCAAAGTCGAGCAAGGATTTTAGCAGATTCGTAGTTGAGAAACGTAAAGTTTTTCAACTCGTCTTCTCCCAACCTTTATTGCGAGCTGGTCGAAACCGAGCAAGGATTTTAGCAGCTTCGCAGCTGATAAACGTAAATTTTTTCAACTCGTCTTCTCCCAACCCTTCTTGTGAGCTGGTCGAAGTCGAGCAACGACTTTAGCAGCTTCATAGCTGATAAACGTAAGTTTTTCAACTCGTCTTCTCCCAACCTTTCTTGCGAGCTGGTCGAAGTCGAGCAAGGATTTTAGCAGCTTCGTAGCTGAGAAACGTAAAGTTTTTCAACTCGTCTTCTCCCAACCTCTCTTGCGAGCTGGTCGAAGTCGAGCAAGGATTTTAGCAGCTTTGTAGCTGATAATCGTAAGTTCTTTAACCCGTCTTCTCCCAACCCTTCTTGCGAGCTGGTCGAAGTCGTGCAACGGCTTTAGCAGCTTCGTAGCTGATAAACGTGAAGTTTTTCAACTCGTCTACTCTCAACCCTTCTTGTGAGCTATATCATTGCCTTTATATATATATATATATAAAATAATATTTGTATATTTCCTATAAATCACAAATTCAGCCCATGGACTTAATTGGAATATAGTTAAAAACTTATTAATTTACTATTAGGTCCCTTCAAATTACTTAATTTACAAAAACAAGCCCACCCCTTCCAGCCATAATTTCAGAAATCGGGCATCTTCCTCACTCCCAAAATTGCTTCTATCCATGTCGCCGGACATAAACGAGCAGTGGAGCATCTTGGTCGTGGAGTTCCCTCGAACAGCCGGAGCAGCTACCTCCGTCGTGGGCTTCTCTTCCCCCACCGCACTGACCCAAGAACAACCCCTCGACAGAAGAGACATGAAGGACGACGCGGCAGGTCTGGAGCGGCGGTCATGGGTGGCGGATGTCGGGTTGATGAAGGAAGACGCGGTGGTCATGGATCGTAGACGTCGGTGACGGCTCTGTGACGGGAGTCTTACTTATCGGTGGCGCAGGAGCGGCGGATAACGGAGAAGTCAGAAGTCGGTAGTGGGGACCCTTCGTCGGCGTCGCAGGGGACAGAGCCGCTGTGGATTGGCCGGCGGGGACGAGAATCGCGTGTACAGCAGCGGAAGTAGAGCCGGTGGAGGTCTGCGGCGGAAGTAGCGCCGGTGGAGGTTGGCGACGGGAATGGCGTCGTCGACCGTGAGTCCCCATTTGTGTGTGTGAGTGAGTATGTGTGTGTGTGTGAGAGAGAGATAAACAGAGAGAGAGAGAGAGAGAGAGAGAGAAAGGAAGAGAGAGAGAGTGACGTTACCTTGGGGAGAGAGAGAGAGACGTACTGGCATGTTTATTTTTAATGTGTAGGTGTAGGTGGGCCCAACAGATGTGGGTGGTTGAATAAAGACCACATTACCATTAATTATTCCTAATGTGTTTAAAAATTTGGCTTTTTTTAACTGTTGGATGATCAGATTATGTGGTTAGGATTTATTCTTATTTCTTTCACAAAGTACCATTCTCACCGGAGCGCGACCCTATATATATAGATAGAATATATTGGAATATATTGTGTGTATATATACATCATATATATGTTTATATATTGGGGTTTTTTTTAACTGTTGGATGATCAGATTATGTGTATATATATGGAATATATTGTGTGTGTATATATATATATATATGTGTGTGTAGAATATATTGTGTAGTCCAAATTTGGGTTCTGAATTTAAAAGTCAAATAAGTAATTATTCATAACTTAGAGGTCAATATTAACTTTGACATAAATGGATAGTCAGTTTTTTATACTATAATAAATGATTCGACTACCTAATTTTTTTATTTAGATAGTTTATACAAAATTAAATTCATTTTAATTAATGAAACAATATGAGTTTTATAATTTTACTTATTATTTACATATAATTTTAATCTATGATAAACAACAACAACAACAACAACAACAACATACCCAGTATATTCCTAAAAGGTTGAGGTCTGGGGGGTCAGTTATACGCAGACCTTACCCTTGTAATTATACAAAGAGGTTGTTTCTGTAGCGACCCAAGGTACATTGCGCCGTTTGATATTTTTTTTTTTCTAGAAACTTCACTAATAGAAGAAGCACTAGAATTTAATTTAGCCATTTTGATCTAGTCCATTATTAGCACTATGCCAGGAGAATTGTCAACAATGACTCTTCCAGCTTCATTTGCAATGGACAAAAAAAAAATAGGATAAAAATTTACCAAAATAATTATTTTTGGAAGCACATTGAAGTTAAGTTAAATTTCTAAATAAAAATTTTAAAATGACACTTATTTTGAAATGAATATAATGTAATTTATTATCAGTCATGTTCACCGTACTGGTTGTGTACTTGTAAATAGACATATTTTATGTAATTTTTCACAATTTAAATTTCGTATAAAACTTTCAATAAATTAATATACGTAAATTGTATTACATAATGATTCTATATTTTTTATTTATAAATATTCTTTTATGAGCATTTTTTAATTAAAAATATTAATATCTTATACCCGTGCATAGCACGGGATTCGTACTAGTGGATATTAAATTGAAAAACAAAATCCCTTCCTAAAATAAAGTAATTTGTTGAAATAGAATTCATAACAAGTCCAACTACATCCACTAATCTTGGTCAACAAAATCAAATATTCCATACAAGGTCGGGTTTTGTACAATTTTTAAACAATAAACCTCTTCGTAAATACCCATTGCATACGAGATTCTTAATCTATACTTATATAATAAGGTGTACCATTTACGAAATTTAGTAATTGAAAAGTCAATGCAATAAATGCATTACTATTTTGAGCAACATAATATAATATCATATCTATACTTATATAAAAGGAGATTCTATTTACTACATTTACTATCCAGAAAAGTCAACTGCATTAAATGTCATTACTATTTTGGTATTATAATATTTTATTTATTTAATTGATTTATTTATTTGTTTTATTTCAAAAAGGTAAGTATAATAAACAGATTTTAATAATAAAAAAATCAAATACCAAATAAAAATGTACACTTTGACTTATTTGATTATATTTGGTATTTGATTATACCAAATATATTCCTATTTAATATATACATTAAATACTTACTAAAGTATTTATTTGTTTTATTTGTCAAAGTTAAGTATAGATTTGTTTAAATTATCAAATCATAAAAAAATATTAAATCCATATTGTAAAAAAAAAATCATATAATTTTATAACAATTCTACTACACTATTTAACAATATTCCTTTTCTATTATATAATAAAATAATAATTAAATATTATATAGTGAACAACAATAAGTAAAACTGTTACTTTCTTTTATATCAAGGGATAAATTTATATGCTAAAATTAAAGTTTTATTATTATAAATGTTTTAGTGAGATAATATATTAATTATTTTACAAGCTAGCCCTAACATGTTCATATCTAATGTTTTAAAAGATGTAGAAAAAACTTATAATAATTCTATTGTTTTTTAGACTTAAACATTGATTAAAAGAGGTAAAAATTTCTAATTTTTTAGACTTAAACGTTGATTAACATCATAGATTGAGAGTCTATATTTAGTAAAATTCCTAATTGTAATAAAAAAATTAATTTTTGCTATATTTTAGAATATCTTTAAATTCATTATACAAAAAAAAGAAAAAAAACTACAATGAAAAAAACAAGTCAGCTATATATCGATTTGTTGTACTCCTCAAATCACATTCACAATTTGGCTACAAGGAAAGGAAACTCATTGATTAAAATATTATTTTGTCAGTAGTCTTAATGTACAAGAGACTTTAAGACTTTACTTGAATATTATAAAACTTTTATTGAACATTGTACAATTTTCTTGCGTATTATAAACTTTTATTGAATATTGCATCTTATAATATAATATTCTCCAAATAAACAGGTCACGTACTATATATATCCCGTACATTTTTCTTTATTCATGTATATAATTATAAGCCTGGATAAATAGCCTTAAAATAGTGCCGATGCACGAGCTCTGTACTAGTACATTAAGAATTTGAAATCAATTCAAATTCATCTCTTTCCACAAGTTAAAAATTTCAAAATATCTTTTTTCGAATTATTAAATGTGTGGATTTGGAAATATTTAGATTTTTTCCTTATTTTCAAAAGTCCACATTGGAAAAAATTCTACGTAAAATATTTTCCAGATTTTTAATACTCTTTTTCACAACTATAAAAATCCTATTTTAGAGTGCATTCTTCGCGTTTTTAATTCTTAGTCCAAAAAAAAACAAAGAAAAAACACGTTCATTCTTAGCCCAGAAGAGTTGCATGTAATCAAACAAATTATGTTGTGTACAAAATTTTTTTTAATAATATATGATTTTGTTTTGTCGAACATTATCTGATTGTACAATTTGCCTAACTAGTATAACTCTTTTATTTATTTATACATCTTAAAATGTAATATTTCCCACATAAATACAGCTCTTGCATCGCACGGGTCACACACTAGTATTTCAAGAGACAAATTATGATTTTAGTACAATCTGCTCCTAGTATAATCTCAATGGACTATTTTAAATAATTAGGAATTATATCTTGCACGTAAATATTGGTTTAGACGACATTATTCATTTTTCTGTATAAGCATTAAAATTTAGTTGGAGGACTATCCTTAATGGGATTGGACAGAACCAAAAACATAAGGAAAAAAATGACAAGCAAAATGTTTCAAACACGCTGAACACTTCAATCAAACGGATCAAAATATTTCAACTTATTTTCTAAATTTATTAGTTTTCCGGGAACTCCGCCTATGTTGTCTCAACATAGCAGGTCCCAAGCCCTGGTAAAGGAGGGTTGTGATAGGCTTGGCGAGCCAACGTAAAACCTAGTCGTTCTATGGAGATGAAACACATGAGAAATTCGTTGGGGCGTAACCCTCTTAGCGACGCGCCATATCGGAACCCGGGTATGGTGTCAAATGGGCAAGGGCCAGGTCGTCTCCCCCTTGGGGACGCGCCATGTCGTGGTTTGGGCATAGTGTTAAGTGAGCAAGGACCAGGTCGTCATTTCCTTAGTGGCGCGCTACATCGGCGCCCGGGTGTAGTGGAAAATGAGCAAGGGTCTTCGCATCTCTCTCGACGGGTGCGAAGGGCAAGGAAGCTAGTTGAACCAACTAGGGTCCGTATAGGTAGCTGGAACGTAGGGTCCCTAACGGGTAAACTACGTGAGCTAGTCGATGCAGCTACTAGGAGGCGTGTTAATATCCTATGCGTCCAGGAGACAAAATGGAAGGGACAGAAGGCGAAGGAGGTGGAGGATACTGGCTTCAAGCTTTGGTTCACTGGGGCTTCATCGAGTAGGAATGGTGTAGGCATCTTGATCGATAGGAGCCTTAAGGATGGAGTTGTCGATGTTAGAAGGCAAGGCGACCGGATTATCCTAGTCCGATTTGGTAGTTGGAGATTTGACCATGAATGTGATCAGTGCCTATGCCCCTCAGGTAGGTCTTAGTGAGAGCGCAAAGAGGCAATTCTGGGAGGACCTGGATGCCTTGGTTAGTACGGTGCCTGCCAGCGAGAAGCTCTTTGTAGGAGGGGACCTAAACGGCCATGTGGGTGCGACTAAGGTAGGTTTCGAGAGAGTGCACGGAGGGTTTGGGTATGGTAGTAGGGACGAAGAGGGGGATGGTGTGTTGGACTTTGCGATGGCCTACGACTTGTTGATAGCGAACACCCTCTTTAGGAAGAGGGAATCTCACCTGGTGACCTTTCATAGTGGACGACACGCAAGTCAGATCGACTTTATCCTTGCAAGGAGGGAGGATAGGAGCGCTTGCGTAGATTGTAAGGTGATACCTGGGGAGTGTGTTGTCCCCCAGCATAAGCTGGTGGTGGCGGATTTTCGATTCCGAACACGTGTCCACTGGAACAAATGTGCCAAGACCGTGAGAACAAAGTGGTGGAAGCTTAAAGGGGAAGCGGCGCAGACGTTTAGGGATAGGATGCTAGGTGAGGGGCCTTGGGAAGAAGGAGAAGATGCAGAGGACATGTGGCTAAAGATGGCAACATGTGTACGGAAGGTGGCTGCAGAAGTCCTTGGTGTGAGTAGGGAAGGCAAGCAGGAAGCGAAGGACTCTTGGTGGTGGAATGACGAGGTGCAAAGGGCTATTCAGGAGAAGAAGGAGTGTTTCAAGCGCCTCCACCTTCACAAGAGTGCAACCAACATTGAGAGCTATAAAATAGCGAGAAGGGATGCAAAGCGTGCCGTGAGTGTAGCAAAGGGTCAGGCCTATGATGACCTTTATCAGCGCCTAGGCACGAAGGAGGGGGAGAAGGACATTTATAGGATGGCTAAGATTCGGGAGAGGAAGACAAGGGACATCAACCAAATCAAATGCATTAAGGTTGGGTCGGATCGACCACTGGTGAAGGATGGGGAGATCAAGGACAGATGGCGAGAGTACTTCGACAAATTGTTTAATGGAGAGAGTGAGGGTCCTACCCTGGAGTTGGATGACTCATTTGAGGATACCAAGAGATGCGTGGTGAGAAGAATTCGGGAGGCTGAGATCGGAGAGGCTATGAAGAGGATGAAGGGAGGTAAAGCAATGGGCCCTGATGGTATCCCCATTGAGGTGTGGAGATGCTTGGGCGCCAGAGCGTTAGCATGGCTAACTAAACTTTTTAACCTCATTTTCCGGTCAAACAAGATGCCTGATGAATGGAGGAAAGTACTTTAGTACCGATCTTCAAGAACAAGGGAGATGTTCAAAGCTGTGGTAACTACCGTGGGATTAAGTTGATGAGCCATACGATGAAGCTCTGGGAGAGGGTTATCGAGCATCGCCTACGACGAGTGACGAGTGTGACCCAAAACCAATTTGGGTTCATGCCTGGAAGGTCGACCATGGAGGCGATTTTCCTAATACGTCAGTTGACGGAGAGATATAGGGACCAAAAGAAGGACTTGTACATGGTCTTTATCGACCTAGAGAAGGCTTATGACAGAGTACCGAGAAATGTCATGTGGTGGGCCTTAGAAAAGCACAAAGTCCCATCTAAGTACATTACCCTCATCAAGGATATGTACAAGGATGCGTTGACGTATGTCCGAACATGTGGGGGCGACACCAGCGACTTCCCAATTAAAATAGGACTACACCAGGGGTCAGCATTGAGCCCTTATCTATTTGCCTTGGTGATGGATGAGGTCACAAGGGACATACAAGGTGATATCCCTTGGTGTATGCTCTTTGCTGATGATGTGGTGCTAGTTGTCGAGAGTAGAGCAGGGGTAAATAGGAAGTTGGAGCCGTGGAAGGACGCGTTAGAGTCGAAAGGCTTCAGACTTAGTAGGACGAAGACCGCGTTAGAGTCGAAAGGCTTTAAGCATGGCTTCACATGATGATGGTGACGTTACCCTTGACGGGCAAGTGGTGGCCAAGAAGGAGACTTTTCGGTATTTGGGATCGATGCTACAAAAGGATGGCGGTATTGATGCTGATGTTAGGCATAGAATTGCAGCCGGTTGGTTGAAATGGCGTCAGGCGTCGGGCGTTCTCTGTGATAAGAGGGTGCCACAAAGGCTAAAAGGTAAGTTCTATAGGACGGCGATTCGCCCGGCGATGCTATACGGTGCTGCATGTTGACCTACAAAAAGGCAACATGTCCAACAACTAAGTGTAGCAAAGATGCGTATGTTGCGTTGGTTCTGTGGGCACACAAGAAGGGCTAGAATCCGGAATGAGGATATTCGAGATAGGGTCCGGGTGGCCCCAATTGAGGAGAAATTGGTTCAACATCGGCTGAGGTGGTTCGAACATGTCCAACGGAGGGCTCCTGATGCACTGGTGCGTAGGGGAGTTCTACAGCGGGTCGAGGATGTTAAAAGAGGTAGAGGTCGGCCTAAACTCACTTGGGAAGAGTCGGTTAATAGAGACCTTAAAGATTGGAATATCTCCAAGGATTTAGCGGTGGATAGGAGCGCTTGGAGACTCGCTATCAACGTGCCAGAACCGTGACTTTTGCTCCTTTCTCTCTCTCTCTCTCTCGTTTTTTTTTCCGATCTCTTCCTTTTGGTTCGAGTCTTTTTGTGTTTCTCTTGGATTTCATCTCTAGCCTACCCGACTTGCTTGGGACTAAAGACTATGTTGTTGTTGTTGTTGTTGTTGTTGTTATTAATTTTCCGAGATCTAATTGAACTTTAATTTATCGAAATTACATGAGCGCGATTTTTAATTTTAGGGGTTCTGTATTTTTTGAATTATAATGTTTTTAATTTATTAGGACTCCTTTTCAGCTGTTTTTAAACAAGTATGTCAATAACATTGTTTGCAACGGCACATTAGTCATCATCTAATTGTTTCCGGGAACTTGCTTTCAGCAAGCAATTTCTTCCAATAAACACAATCCCAAATCAATACTTTGCCTTAGCTTCTTTCTTTACAGTTGAACTCAAATACGTAGGTACAATCTACAGAGATCAAAGTTAAAAACTATGAATCAACATTCTGGCTCTTGCTTCAACACTGTCATACCTGATGAACTCAAATTCATTGGCTGAAACAAAGAAGGAAAGTTAGTGTTATGAACTTGATGCAAATTGATAAGACCTTTGCACATGGCCATATACATGTGTAGGATTTTTGGTAAATTATTGGCATAAGTTTGTCCATTTATCTCCAAGAATTTAACTTCCTACACTACTTCCTTCTTTTGATACCATAATTTTGCAATATTAGAAACGCTGTTTCTATGCTTTTCTTTGTTTTTCTAATTTTATTTGTTAAGCATTCTTACAAGTACTAACCTTATGGTTAGTCCAATGACAAATAAAGCTCACATCTTTGAAATCAAATAACCCCCTTAATGCACCAATCNCTGTTTTAGGGGCACTTTTTGTAATTATCATTTCCAAATATGAGAAATTGACATTATTGGCAAACACCTAGTTATTTACAAGTCAGTATGAAGTTCTAATCTTGAATGATTACTGTTTTAAATTTGTAATTTCTATTTTGGAAGCATAAATTAAGAACTTCATTATTCATATGCTTACTCATGTTTACCAATCATTATGGTATTAGATTGCGTTTACTGTAGTACTTTTATGTAACCTACACAGTTTTCACTTTTCAACATATATGCAAATACTTGGCTCCTAATTGCCTAGTTGACCAGCCACATCAATCTAAATCATAAAGGGAGAAAAAGTTGATTTTCAGAAAATAGAACAGAATTCTTCGTGATGACCCCATTTTTTCTCTTTGGTGGCTGTATAGATTTTTCTATCTAATAACTTCCCACGCAGATTTTGGAAGGCACCCCTCAAAGATTTTTCAATTGACGTGTTATGTGTTGGGGAAAAATTACTCCTAGCAAGCTTTGATAATTACAGACCAAGCATATACACAAAGAAGCATACGCCAAAGTTATTTGACTAATAATGGACTAGATCAAAATGACTCAATTAAATTCTAGTGCTTCTTCTATTAGTGAAGTTTCTAGAAAAAAAAAAGTATATCAAACGGCGCAATGCACCTTGGGTCGCTACAGAAACAACCTCCTTGTATAATTACAAGGGTAAGGTCTGCGTACAACTGACCCCCCAGACCTCAACCTGTTGGGAATATACTGGGTATGTTGTTGTTGTTGTTGTTGTATTCAGTTGGAAAAATCCTTATCCCTGACTTCTTAGAGCCAATGATTGAATTTTGATCCATAGTTGCTCAAAGCTGTTTATAAACTTTTCTGTACCGAAGTCTATGAAATTCCTAATATATTGTTTGTTGGCATAGGTTTATTCATTGTTTTATGCCGACTTAAACACAGCAAATCAATTAAAATCTTATACACTTGCAAAGAAAGAGAAGAAATAAGCACTCAGATAGACACGAGAAAAACAATCCAAAACAATGTGGATTAGANAAGAATAAAAAAAAAAAAAAACATGCAGGAAGAAATCTGCTGAAAGTTGGGAAAAATTTGAGCAGAAAACTCAAAACTCTTCAGAAAAAGAGAAGAAATCTGAAGAACCAAAGGAAAAAATCTCTGCGGTAGGGTCTGCAGAATTTGTTAGAAGAATATCTATGTAGCTGCAAAGAGAATAAATCTGGGTCGAGAAGAATTCTGCCTTACAATAATTCTGTTCTGTGTTCTAAACTTCATGAATCTGACGATTTTTTTTTTAATTTAAGACTGAAGTGGCACGCCAACAAGGCAATTGGACTCCTTATGGAGCCCAATGTTTGGGGTTTGCAATCCACATACACGCACATTTATATAAATGCAAAATACACAAACAAGAGTTATGCAGCTACAATATGTTGCACAACAATAATAACAGATAATTATAATTGGCAAGAAAACAGAGTAAAACTAGTTACTCCAGACACTGGACAGAAAATGTATTCTTAGCGCAATAAAAGAGATCAGACCCTTTCAGGAGAAATGAAACATCTTTCAGTTAACGATAATATCAAGCTTGATACCTGAGACGAGAGTGGAAGAATACTATTTGCAAGTTGCACATCCAAAAGAACAGGAAGAGGAGGCATTTGGCTCATTACCCCAGGCATGTTCCTCATGCTGTAGGCGGAAAACTCGGAATAAGAAAATGAAAAAAAAAAGAAAAAAACAAAAACAAATTGGCATTGCTAGACCAGACACCAAAGGGAAACTACAACTATGTTATCTTGATAAAGGATAGCAACTGACTCGTTTAAAATTGTCGTTAAGTTGTTCCTTGTCCGGGAAAAGAGATCCATGTTTTGCTGCAACTGCACCAAAGTATCAAATAGCAGATGAAGGAAGAAGCAAGAAACTTGAGAGGGTAAGAGAATATTAATATTATGTGAAACTTGATACTAAATGCACTTCTACCAAAAAAGTTCTTAAGTTCACTTTACAATAAGCAAATCCACAACTTCTGAAATAAAGTTGGGTTCGGACATCTTACCTTAAGAGTCGTAAGATTGGAAGAAATTTGATCAAAAGCCTGGTAATTTTCCTCCAAAAGATGCCTTGTTTTCCCACTGAGCACTGAAAAGCATGCACAAAATTATTGGCCATAAAGTGTATCCCTTGACAAATATAAAAGAGAGAAAAAATTACACGTGAAAGAGAATGTGCATATAAAATATAATAATTTGTTAGAAAAACAATGTTAATCACAGAAGCGAATAAGACAAACCTCCTGAGAGAATGTACTTACTCGGATCATGATGGTTTGCAGTCAAAGAATACGGAGCCACCTTTACCGATGATGCCGAAGACATGGCATTCTTCAAAGATAACTCAATTTTTTCCTGAGAAATTTGCCTTTAGAATAGAACTCGTTCCAAATAGTAAATCTTGTTTCATATATTAGTCACTATACGTAATCTAGAACTTTTAGAATTTACTAACAAATTCACATTAAAAATATCTTGAAAGAAAGGAAGCAAGATATTGAGGGACAATATTCTATAAGACTCGGACCCTACCATGAAAAAAGGAGACTGATAGTATCATGGCCAAACCGTGTGTAGCTACGTTTAATAATAGTAACAAGTAAGTATATATGCTTATTGCTGCTTCAGTCTCAGTGATGATAATAATGTGTGCAAAAGATGTTACTGAAAGTTCTAAGTTCCATTTCATTCCCAAATCCAAACGGGCTTTTATGCAATTGGTGATTATTAAGAGAAGTTGCATCCAAGAAAAGCAGGTCTGATTTTCTCTTTTTTCCATGAAAAGTGAAAAGTGAATAAGAACCAAATCGGAGTCAGTAGCAAAGTCCACCCCATTTTTAGCTTTTGAGCTACAATGCATCGTACAAACATCTCCGGATTTTCGAGCATTAGCACTTGAATATTTCTTTAATAGTTGTCGGTAGCCATGAAAACGTAACTGAGAGAAGGCTGACACAGGAGTCAAGGACCCAGACAAAAGTAACGTCGCTGAAAAGATACAGGTTTAGGAATAGAATGGCTCTGGCACCACATCATATATTCTTTTTTTTTTTTCTGATTTTCATTGAGAATATGTGCCTACCCCGACTTGCTTGGGACTAAAGGCTATGTTGATGTTGATGTTTCATTGAGAATATGTCAGCTACAAATATTACAAATACAATCAGTGCCATTATGGCTCAATCTAGCACTGTCAAAACGGGCCATGGCCCGCAGGCTGGCCCGTCCGTCCGCCTAAATGGACGGGCTTGGGCCTTTGCTTGGCCAGCCCGTTCAATTGCGGGCCTATTTGGCCTGCCCCGTTCGGCCCGCGGTCTACAACGGGCCGGGGCGGGCTAGCCCGCGGTCCAGCCCGTTTTTTTTTATTATTATTTGTTAATTTTATATTATTTAAATTTAATATTTCTTATTTCATGTGCATTTTGTTGGAGTTTATTTTTATCGTCTTTTTATTTTTTTTCTTCTTCTTCTTCCATATTTATTTATTTTATATTTTTTAAAATTTGACAATGATATTAAGATTTATGAATGCACATGAAACACTTTTATACATAATAAAAATATTAATGAATCAAATAATATTTCATGTGAATTAAGTCTCTCCTCCGCGTCAATACCCTATAACTATTCATAAAAAAAATAAAATAAAAACTGGATGACAAATATTTTTTTTTTTTTTTGGTACAATGGATGACAAATATTTAACATCATTACACATGAAGTCTTACTAGTTTATTAATATACTAGTAAATATAAGGATAAATAAACCAAAAAGTATATAAGAGTGCATAATACTAAAAAACCCGCGGGCGGGCCAAAATGAGGGCGGGCCACGGGTCATGGATTTTCCAGCCCGTAAAAATGCGGGCCATTTTGGCCCGCCCCGTTTGAACCGCGGGCCAGACCGGACCGGCCCGTTTGACACTGCTAGCTCAATCATTCGAAATCCTTTTCATATCCCTTTTATAAAACTAAATATATACAACAAACAGACCGATATTGTTGTGATTGATATCCAATCACAATGAACATGCTAACAAAATATATGCTAAATACATCTAATAATTGCACAGAATATACAACAAAATAATAACACCATTAGTACAAATATTGGATTTTAAAAACTATACCATGGTCAATACCAAACTAGCTAACTCAAAGTCAGTTCCATATACTATAAAGAAAAACTATGAATGTTACCTTCAGGTCCTTCTCTCTTATCCCAAATCTCATATCCTCGAGTTTCCTTCGCTTTCCCTATCAAAGTAAAAACCAGATAACTAGATAAAGGTAAATAACATCTTGTGTCATCCATAAATCTGACGACCTGATTTATGAAGAATAGTTCATTATCTGCAATATCTAGAACTTTAACTTACTGTCATCCATCTACATCGAAGAGCAACATCTCGTACAGTTTTGTTCCGAAGTGTGGCTGCGATTTTAATATACCTCAAAATATTGGGTTCACGGGCACATCTGCAAAGTTGAAAAGGTATCAAGAGGATAAACGCGGATATTTAGGTTTGCTCTGCTGGAAACTATTGAAAACAAATGCAAATGCAAATGCAAGGTAAGCTCCACACCAATGTGCCAGGCTTACCACTGACAAGTAACAATGAACCGGACAGAACACATCAGGATACACAAGGAATAATATAAAAGTAGAAATCAGAAACTTAGTGATATATGACTGTCAGAATAATTGAAAAATCTGACTAACATTGGAAGCCACTATAGATTCTCCTGTACGTAACAACGATCCTGGAACAAACAAATGCATACAACAAAAATGGAGGTAACAGCAGCCCCATCTACCATAGGCACCATGTATTAATCATTTCTAGTGACGAACTGCTACTGCAAACATATGTAAGAATTGGATGAGAGGTGTTTAAACATTAGGTATTTATTTGTACCAAGTAACAGAAGCTGGTCCCATGTGATTTATCTATGCAATACACATTAAATATTCTGTAATGGTATGTGATATAGATCAGAAGAATTCAAACGCAGGTAAAATTCAGATCCAAGATGGAAAATGCATACAAGCATATAGTACATAAAAAAAAAATATCAAAATACATCTCAGTGAACCAACGACCCAAGTCAACTAAGGATCTTATAGTTCATTTGGGGAATAATGTTCAAATGAGACATATTCTGACATCTCATACATAAAAAAAGAACCACAACCTGGTCCAGCAAAGAACAAAAGAAACTAAAATAAACATAAATTTTATGTGAATGTTTAAACTGAAATTCCAAAATTTCGCAACCCGAAAATTGAAATATGTATCCCAAACAGGTAATGGAGAACAGAAACACAATCTCCCCTACCTGAACTGTTCCACTTTGTCCTTTTTCCAATCTCTATCAGATTCTAAAATAAATAGATTTTTTATCTTGGACGTGTCCTATCATCCCCTTGGTACTTTTCATCTCATTTATCATGCACTCACTCCATCAGTGCAGGAGAGTAGGCCAAGCGCCAGAAATCCCCCCACCAGCACATCGTCAAAAAAACAAAAAAGAAAGAAGGAGAAAAAGACCTACTTTTGTTGTACCGCAAGCAACAAATTTAGTACCACAAAAAAATGTTGAAGAATTTAACTTGATTACCTACCTTGCAAGCCCCTCCTCGAGTGTGTACTGTTCATCGATGGACCACTCGGTGGCCAAACCCGTATCGTGCTTCAACCCAGGAACGGAATCCACCAAAAACGACGTCGCACAGGAAGAATTCTGAGACGAGAAAATAATCTCTCCCCCAGACCCATTGTTGCCTCCCAAACCCATTGCTCCTCTAGGGATCATATAACTTCCCGTCGGAATCAATTCGCAGCCGGCGCTAACGACCACTCCGGCCGACATTCCTCGCCGATGGTGCTGGTGAAACCCTGTGCTCGACTCGCTCGCCATGTGTTCAGCCAAGCATGAAAAATATATAGCGCGCTTGCAGTACACCGGTGAACATCTGGTGCAGGGTGGGTTTTTGTTGGTCAGGGAGTTTGTAGAGAGAGAACAGAACAGGAACGACGATTAATGTGTGTGCAGAATCGGTTCATTTTGTTGTACATCTTTCTATAAATAGCGGGGGACCATTCTGCACTTGCGAGCAGTGTTTTAAAGTCGGGGCCTTTTGCTGTGTATTTGCAATTGAGATGAAATCAATGTCTTGGTGAAGCCAGACTTGCGAGTCATCGGGTCACTTGCTATTCATTATTAGAAAAATATTACAAATTCATAATAAATGTATATAGAGGTGTATATAACACGGGAGATATTATGGTCCCGTTACGGAACCTTCCGTCGAGAATTGTAACCGTTAGATCAACTATTCCTGACTGTTACATGATGATCTAACGTTTACAAACTCCGACGGAATGGTTTCGTAACGGCACCGTAGCATTTCCCACATAACACTCACATGAAGTGTCTATTTGATTTTTTTATTTTTGATCGGTCCCACTAAATTTGAGTGTTATGTACACCTCTATTTACAATATTATGTATCTATAACATTCCTCTTATTATTATCTACCGCTCCCTATTACCTTTTTTGCTCTTTTCAGATTGTTTGAAAAATTGAGTCTCTCTCTCTTACTCTCTTCCCCTCTCGTCGCCGCCGCCTCGTCGCACCTCCAAAAAAATTCCGAAAAAATAGAAAATCCTCGGCCGAGGCAAGGGATTCATGATTCGTCCGGTATGTTTTTTTTTTCCATTTGTAAAAATATTTTAAATTTTTTTTAAAGTTACTGCGACACCGGTCGGCCGCCGATGCCAGTTACGTAGGTAATGGTTGGCCGCCGATCGCGACCAGCAATGGTATGGCCAGTTTCTAGCCGTCGACCGCACCTTAAGCGGCCGGCATTTGTGGCCCGCCGCACTATAAGCGGCCGGCATTTGTGGCCCGCCGCACTATAAGCGGCCGCCATCAGTGGCTGGCCGCATCGTAAATGGCCGCCATCGGTGACCGGCCATTCTCAAGGTGGCCGGCTTCGTCGTCCGGCAGGCCAAAATTATTTATTTTTATAACTAAAATTATTTAAATATGTTTAAATATTTAAAAATAGAATTGACTTAATTTTTTGAGTTAGGTTAACTTAAATAAATTTTAGTTTAGTAGTTATTAATAATATGTTACTTATAAATAATCTATATATATAATTGTTGGGTCATGAGCATTTAATAAAATCTATTAAATTATACCTATGTGGCAATATAACTCTTTTTTTTCAAAAACCGTTACTTTTTTTTATTTAACCTCTCATTTAATTATTAGATAATCAACACACTAATCACTTCAAAATTATAAAAATCATTTTAAACTTTTAATTTACTTACAGCTGACCATATAATGTGTTGATTGTTTAACGTGATTAGATGTTATTGTTGTGGTTACATTTAAATTAACTTTTTTTTGGAAAATAAAAAACGTATTTGAAATTTCTAAATAAATAATAAATAATTCACTAAAACAAAACATACCAAAATATACATTACATCCAATATGATAAACTCAATTCTAAAAAATAAATATTCCAACTCCTTTAATTGTAAATTTGGCCTGCAAAAAAGTGCAATAAAAATCATTAATCATTATATACATACAAAATAACTCACAATTCTTTATTTATATCTGTGCAAATGCACATGTCCAATACTAGTATATTATATATGATGGAATCCAACAGTAATAAATTATTGCTTCTAAAATAATTGTAGTAATGGTAAGTAGGGTTGTATCCATAGGAATTGGCTTGACAGAATATTGATACAACTATTCGCGAAAGAAATAAAAATAAAAAAGATGGGGAGTTTTGATGATTTTATCTAATTATGAAAACTAAAACAAAATAAAATCTACCTAGAGACGAAAACAAAACAAGTGAGTCAAAATAGAGAAAATATCCAACCAAAGGAAAAGATTATAGAAATGGTTCAACGATTCGATCATGGATGCAAAAATGATTCTCCTAATCTCGATTAAACTAGTTATGGTTATTGGTACAACATAACAACCTATCTTTCCTTACTTGTTTGATAATCAAGATACGATCTCATTATTTCTCTAATCAACAGACAACCCTAGATACGATCATAGGATTTAATCTAGCAACAACATTGAAATCTAGAAAGACCACCAATTCTAGCCAACAAACGCACATGTAGGATAATTTAGACTATATCATAAATCTCCCTAAACATGAAATCGAAAACCCTTAGTAATCAACTATGTTCTTTGCCACCAATATTTAAAAACAATCAAAATGGCGATATGCTATTCCGATAATTGAACAAAGAGCTCTTTTTGAATCAATCAACCAAAATAACAATTGATAATAAACACAAGAGACATACGAATAAAAGAGAGAAGGGAATATAAAATTCAATTAGATCTCACAAATCATGAAGAACCAAATCTAGATTAATCCTTTGGCTGGAAAAATAAATTAATTCTCTATAAACATGCGAGTCTTCTCTCAATTATTCATGAAAAGTAAAAGAAAAGAAGAAAAAGGAGAATATGGCGTGCGTAGAGGGGGAGAGAGGAGAAAAGAAAAATATCGAAATAATATCTAGCAGTCTGGTTTTTAATCAGAACCAGTCTAATCCTAATCCTAGCAGTAAATACGTAGAAAATAATAAAGAGATCATTCTCTCTCCAAAATATTCTAATAGAATATATAATAGTCCGGAAATAAATAAATACTTCATATAATCTTTTATTCTGTTTCCAACTCAAGATTCCTTCCTTCTTCCAACTCTTGTACGAAATTGGCATGCCCACGCCTTAACTCAAGTTTGTCTCTTTCGCCAGCCAATCATCATAAAAATCCAAATTCAGAGATATCCTACAAAAATGATAAAAATCAATTAAAATCAATAATTAAGCTCAAACAAACACCAAAAAAGTATGAAAAACATGACAATTGACATGTCAAGAATACGACTTATAACTATATAATAGTTAAATATAATTATATTAAAATTATGATAATAATTTTTAATAATGCTAATTATTAATAGAATAACACATCTAACTTTAGAATTTTTAGGAAACAAAGTAGTTGTAATATACGTAATAAAATGTTTTGTTGAGTAATTACTAGTTTCAAAAATTATAATTAGTATTCTAATATAAGTTGAAATTTTTTTATAATTTTTAAATTAATTAGTTTGTATAATTATATAATGAAAAAGTGGAATTATATTAATTATGTGGTTACGAATAATTACTTAATTTATTTTGTAATTCTTTTTAGGAAAATAATTATTTGTAATACTTAATAATATATTTTAGGAAATAACAGTAATTAATAATATTTAAAAATGTAGTAATTAATTAATAATTTAGTAATTAATAATATTTTAGGAAATAGTAGTAATTAATTAATAATGTCATATTTAATAATGTATTTTAGTAACACGGCCTCGCTGGGTTGTGAGTCGTCACCGGGCGAGAGGATGTCGCGGGCTGTCTCCAGAGACCCAAAAACACAACAAGAAGATCGTGCAGCAACCCACAGGAGAAAGTTCGAGTACAGTCTAGCGACCCCCAACAACTGCGCGAGCCACTCGCAGGCATGCGCGCAGCGATCCGATGACTCCAGTCAACAGCGGCGCGATCAAGTGCAACAACTGAACATTTGAGGAAGCATTTCGACGCTCAACTAGGACAATGCAAGGAAGATACAAGGTAAGAAGACGTGTCTCAGAACTGTTCGTCCGGTCCCGTAGGCCATATATGTCTGTACAGAGCCGACAAAATTTTAACAATAAGTTCGAAATTTGATAGTTAGTTCCACTGTGCGTAGGATTCGTTTCTTAGATTCTCAGTTGATTCAAAGCGTGGTCGTTGAAGTTCCTCATAGAACCCAACAGTTGCCTGCTCCGGCCTCTTCTAGTATAAAACATTTGGGGCCAGAGCTATCGGCTCAGGATTTTGCTACATTAAAACTTATGGCCCTAGAGCTACCTACTTCAGATTTTTCCTCTAGAAACATGTGGCACTCGAACCACCTGCTTGGGGTTCTGCCACGAAAAACATGTGGCCCCTGAGCCACCTACTTAGGGTTCTACCATGAAAACATATGGCCCCCGAGCTACCTACTTGGAGTTCTACCACTGAAAATCTTATGGCCCCTGATCTACATATTTGAAGTTCTGCCACTAGGAATTTGTGGCGCCTGTGCCACCTGCTCGGGGTTCTTGTAACACCCCACTTATTAGAGTAAATTTTTCACAACTTTTACTGCAAAATACTTATAAATTTTTCGAAATCCTTTGCGTTTAACTCGGGATGATACTCAAATTTATCTTTTCTGAAAATCCGTTTATCTTTAAACTTTGTCTAACTTACTAGTTTAGACATAAAGGAAACAGATTTATTTAAATTTGCATTTAAACTGTACCATATTCATACTGCTGAAATGGTGAAAACTAAAATCTAAAATTTATTAAAATGCAAGTTCAAGTCTTAATATGCGTAGCGGAAATACTTAAAAACGTGATTAATAATATAGACATAACAAGTCCATAAATAAATGTCCACAAATGCATGACCACCACCACCACCTCTGAGCTCACACCTTCGACCCGACCCTGTTACCTGAAAAACACAATAGAGGTGAGTACTGGTCCTTTTGTACCCCAAAATAACACATACTAAAGTAAACAACAATAATAATACAATATCATGATCGTTGGTATATATATGGACTGGAAATCTGTTCCAGTAACTGAAACTAAATCTGTAATCTGGCCGATATCTGATCGGGTACGTGTTAACACTCTGATGGATATTTCTAAGGCAACTGAGGGCCTCCATCAGAACTTAGGATGTACTATTAAGGCAACTGAGGGCCTTTATCCTAAGCGTATAAATTGTATACATACCTCGGACATGATATCAATATTATAGTCAATCTAATACCCAGGCTGGTCCCCACCTTTCTTCTTTGAAAAACTCGTAAGTGCTGAATGATATAGCTGAATCTTCAAGCTACATAAAAACATAAACCAATATACTAAGTACTATGCTCATATTCTCAATAAGATGCTAGAATACTTGAATCTATCACTTATCCGGATTTTAATGAACACTCTAAAAGTTCACTAAATCCAAATTTAAACTTTTAAACTTAAACTCTTCTTTAACTTTTACTTAAGGTTGAATACTATCACATATATATCATAACTTCCAAA